AAAGGAAGGAAAGAAGGAAGGGACAATGGGAAAGAGGGAGGGAAGGAGGAAGAGACTAAGGGAGGTGAAGGAAAGGAAGAAAAAAAGGAAGGAAGGGACAAGGGGAGAGAAGGGAGGGCAGGCACCCACCCCAGTCCCATCCCAGAGACCTACAGATTCCCCCCCCCACAGGCACTGTGCAACCTGAGTGATCAGCTGGCCACGCCCCCTGACCATTGATCACGTGACCCTGGGACACTGTGAACTTCATAAGTATGAATCAGTTGTCAAGCATCCGAATGTAAATCACTTGACCCTGGGGATGCTGCAACAATCATAAGTGTGAAAAATGATCATAATTCGCTTTTTCAGTGCTGTTGTAACTTCAAACAGTCACTAAGCGAATTGTTGTAAGTCGAGGACTACCTATACTTTCCCATTTTTTCCTCTCTTTTTTTGGTCAAGTTTTTGATACCCCCCGGCCAGCTGGATGGGGGGTTGGGGGTCACCACAACATGAGGAACTGTATTAAAGGGTCGCGGCATTAGGAAGGTTGAGAACCACTGAATTAGAGTCTCAGTTTGAGATTTTAAGTCAAGTATTTTTCTAGAGCTCAATTGATCAGTAGCTTCTTCCTCCATCTCTTTAAATTGTGTGCACTGTTGCATATAGGCCTCTTTAAAGCTAGTCTGTTCCTTTTTTATTGTTCCTTGGCCTATAGGTTGGTCCATTAAAATTTGAAATTCAGTTTGTGGTTCTGCAAAATGATCTTTAATTTTTCTCCAAGATTTCATGTACTCTGTAGCTTCCAATTTTTTCCCCATAATTCAAAGCTCATAATCAAGCTGTGGGTGAGATTCTTCCATTTCCATGATAAAATAGTCTTTTAGTCTTTTAGTAGAAGCTATATTTATTAGAAATCAACAAATTTCCACCTCCACAATTTCTAGTAAGCAAATTCAGCCCACAGCTGCTTCAAGGCCTTTATCTTTTTCCCTTTTATTATCATTTGAAAGTCAAATCCATCTTTAAACACCAAGAGAAAGTACAATTGCAGTAACACTTTTCACCACAAGATGTCCTCAGTAGGCTGTAAAATCTTTTTTTCCGAGTTAATTTTTTTTATCTCATTAGGAAAAAAACACAAATATCTCCAGCATAGTAGATAAAATAATAATAATGTTCTATGATAAGGATTTTTTCAGGGCCCCAAAATATCCAAAAAATTAAATATCCAATAAAAATTTACTGTTTTATAGTTTTGTTCAAAGCTTTTTTCCCCAAATAATCAAACGCCACTCTCTTAAGGCAGGGAAGTCATTCAGAGGCTTTTTACAGGAAAATGGTTGGGGCTAAGAGAGGGAAGGAAAGGTCTCACCCAGATTTCTCCATGGTGGTTCTTCACGCTTAGCTGTTCTTCTGACTTTCGGCTGGTGCAGCTGGGTGATCAGCCATTTTACTGGGCGATCATTTCTCCGATGGCCCTAAGGAGCTAGCTCGGACCACGGAAGGAGATGCCACCCTTCCGCAGTCAACGAGGGCCTCCTTGACAGTGGTCACCCCTCCAGGGCGACTTTTTGACCTGATTAAGGGTCTACCGGCGGAGGGAAAGCAGCTGGCGAAGAGACAGAGCTCTCCGCACGACTGCACACGGCGCAATTCGGAACCAGAAGTCGCTACTCCTGGATTCTTGACAAACCTGTATGAATTGGATCTGAGCCAAATGCAATTGCTTATTCAACTTGAACAGATGAGTTGAGCTGATTTAATAGTTTAAGATTAAATCTCCAAATTATATATAGGCATGTTCACATCTGTGCAAAATAAACTGCCCTTGTGGATAAGAATAACTTTGAATGTTTTTCAGAGTTTGTTCACAAAATGTTCTTGTACAAGCAGAAAACAAAGGAAGTAGATTGTAGAGCTAGATCAAGAATTATGTTGTGCTTAGATTTTTCCCATATATTCTTCTCCCTCAAAATTATCTCAATCATTTGAGGAAATGTATGAACCTGCTTTTATTCTAATAATGGGAGTCACAATGAAATATATTTCCTAAAAAATGCTTCTTTCCTTAAACAGGAATTGGATAGCATCTCTTTTCATTATTGGTCATTATTTGATGGCCATGCTGGATCTGGAGCAGCTGTGGTAGCCTCCAAATTGCTGCAGCATCATATTGTAGAGCAGTTGCAGGAGATTGTGGACATCCTGAAAAACTCTGCTGTTCCTCCCCCAACTTGCCTGGGGGAAGAACCAGAAAGCATGAATGCCAACAGCAGAACGCTAACCCGGGCAGCCTCATTGAGAGGAAGTGTTGGAGCTCCTGGTTCATCTGGCACTCCATCTACTCGCTTCTTTACAGAAAAGAAGATCTCGCAGGAATGCCTTGTCATGGGAGCTGTTGAAACTGCATTCAGGGAAATGGTAAGTATAATTTGATGGTTTGGGTATCTTCGGAATAACACTTACTTATAATGGTAAATATACCATATATATAGTAAATGGCAATGGGAACTGACTTCTAAATACATTGATAATCTAATACATTTTCAAAGGTTGAGCATGTAATAAATGTTTGGCTCTACAATTGTAAACCAGATGATCATCGCCAAAACACATAAATGGATTATACATCTTCCTAAGGTGGGTGACATTGGATGTACCATTTGCCCTTTTTTCTAATGAAAGGCAAGATGTATGAAAGTAGGTGAATGGAGAAAGTTAATGATACATTTGTTTAAAATTACTGGCTTTTTCTTCACTGAATGTTGCTGTGGGGAAAAAGTATGTTGTAAACATCACTTTGTGCTTCTAGAATAAAAATAAAATATTTACTGAGCTTGAAAGGATTTGCAACGAAGAATTGCAAAAATTCCCCCAATCCAGGTGTGCAAAGCTTATCGCTCTTACCTAGAAAGATTCAAGGTTGTAATTGCTGCCAAAGGTGCTTCAACAAAGTACTGAGTGAAGGGTCTAAATACTTATGCCAATGTGATATTTCCATTTTTTTCTTTTTAATAAGTTTACAGACATTTCTAAAATTCTGTTTTCACTTTGTCATCATGAGGTACTGAGTGTAAATTAATAAGAAAAATTCAATTTCAACAACTGTAGAATCGCTGTAACATAACAAAATTAACAAAAGTGAAGGGGGTCTGAATACTTTCTGAATGTACTGTACATGTATAATAAGACTATGTCAGGTTTCTGAAAATTTGGTCCTTGATAGTTCATCCAATGCAAAAATGCAAAAAAGTACACAGTTCACACATGAGTCAGGAGGTGGCCTCATTAGTTAATGTAGCATTTGCCATCATAGAGCTATAATTGATTAAATGCTATTAAGCCGTCTGTGCTGAATAGTGCTGAATCTTATTTTTGAGAAATGTTATTATCACTGCAACCCGTACCCTGTTTAATCAGCTTTGAGAGTACTGCAAGGACCTAGTGTAAGAATATAAAAAGACTGAATGGGCACCTTTTTACAGGTTTTCATACAAGCAAAAGTATTTGTACAAGGAGTGTATCTGTAGGAACTACCATATTTATTCGAGTATAACGCGCACACGTGTATAACGCGCACCCCTAATTTTCGATTAAAAATCGGTATAAAATTTTGTTTCACGGGAAAGGGAAGTGCATCTCGCCAGTTCGGGCCGCCCCCTGTACGCGACGAGGGGACGTTTTTTTCTTCTTCGCCCTCGCGTGAGCGGCTGAAGCCCGGAAAAGGCACAGTGCGAACTCACAATTCGCCTGCGCCCTCAATGGACCGGCCGCCACTGCGTCACCCCACCCCAGCCCTCGTGTCAAGCCCCACGGGGCTTGCCATTCACAGGGGGGGGAGAACCGCAACGCCCGTAGCCGCCCAGCAGCAGAACGCCGCCGCAGCCGCCCGGCTCTCTGCCGGCATCGTTCCAGCTAGCAGGTACGGCCCACCCCCCTCCCCTCGCTTCTCCGCGCTGCTGCCTACCTCGCTCGAGCCGCAGAGACCTCAGGCAGCATTGCCCAGCGTGAGGGCGAGGCGGGGAGCATGCAGAGGCTCGCCATTCACTGCGAACCCGCCGGGAGCCCAGAAGCCAGCGAACGGAAGCCGCGGAGGGCCAGGGAGGACCGCGGATGTCGGGGGAGGGGCCAGCAAAGACTGCTGCCTGCACAACCGGCAAGGCCGGGAGGACACAGAACGAGGCTTTCTCTCCTCGGGACACCGACGCACCCAAACTTTGATTTCTTTTTTGGGTAGAAAATTTTGCGCGTTATACTCGAATAAATACAGTAGAAGTAGATGAAGCATGGCCCCTGTTTGATATTCAACTTCTCTAAATACACATGCAAATACACACACACACACATGCACACACACACGGGGGGGGGATAATAGGCATGTCCCATGCTTCTCTCTCTTTAATCCCATTTCCATGGTTGTTGTTTACCCTGCATTTTCTGTATCTTGGAAAGAACATTTCTGTAATGGGGAATCTACTCTACTTTGTAGATCCCCCATGTGATTTAAAATCCTGGGTTTCTGGATTTCAGATTAATAAATGAGTTTAACCAAAGATGTTCAACGTGTAGACCTAGGATTTATGTGAGTCACAACTTTGTTGTGTATCAGAATGGCAGAAAAACAAACATAAAATAGTCTTTTAAAAAGCAATTCCTGTTCTTTGTCAGGATCCAGTTATATTTCCTTTCTATCTATCTTCTCTGATATAAAACCAATTCTTACCCTCTCCTGAATCCTGCCATACTTTATGAGGGAGGGGGAGTATGCATGAGGGTTTTATTACTTTCACTTCCTCCATTCACTACAAAGTAACCATTAGCCTTTTATCCTATGCCCCTCTGAACTTCTGCTCCTTACCAGCCAGCTAGGAAAGGGGAGTGAAAAGATGCAGCCTCCGGAATCTGGTTTATTTATCCGTCATCAAAACAAGGTGTGAGGAGCTGTTGAATGATCGTGTACAACGGAGCCAGATTGATGTTATTTTTCCTGGATTTAACACCTAGAAATCTGCCGGTCTGAATCGCCCGGAAGAACTGCAGGGTGGGGGCTGCTTAGGGACACTTTAAAACATTGATCTGTAAGGAAATCCTTCAGATCCTGTCTATCATGCCTGCTATCAATTTCTCTTAATAAAAGTTCCTGTTGGAAAAGACCGTTTCCAAGAGTTCTGCTATCTTAAGATGTGGATTGAAGTGGGTCCTTATTTGTTTGGTAAAGTGAGATGATTTTCATTCGAGGCTGCTCAACATGCTGCAAAACAGAAAGAATAGAAACAACAAGGAAACCGTATAAACAAGTATAAACCAATAACTGAGTATAGTCCTCGACTTATAGCCATTCTTTTAGTGACTGTTCAAAATTACAATGGCACTAAAAAAAGAGATTTATGATTGTTTTTCACATTTACGTCCTTTGCAGCATTCCCATGGTCAGTGACAAAATTCAAATGCTTGGCAACTGGTTCATATTTATGATGGTTGCAGAGTCCTTTTGCAATTTTCTGACAAGCAAAGTCACCTGGGAAGTCAGATTCACTTTACAGCTGTATTACTAACTTAATAACTGCAGTATTTCACTAACAACTGTGGCAAGAAAGGTCATAAAATGGGGCAAAACTCATTGAGCAACTGTCTCATTTAGCAACAGAAATTTTGGGCTCAATTGTGGTCGTACGTTGAATATTCTGCTTTCTGGCTCTAAGGTTTTTGTTCGAAGATAATATATTCCTGCTTCTACCATTCTTTTCTGTTGTAGAGCTTATTTTTGGAATAGTCTTCTCCTAAGTTGTAGTTGGCTCTAACTCTGATAGCCTTTAGAAAGGCTTTAAAATTAGGATTTCTTTTCCCCCATGGACATTATACCAAGATCATAGTGATATATTTATTGCTTTAATTGTAATTTGGGTTTTCTTCTAGTTTTATTGCTTATACCACCTGCAAATGTGATCAGGAGAGTTGGGGATCAATATAACTCTTCCTAATCAGTTGGTCAATCAGTATAGTCCATTTTACCACCATGCTAAATGCTGCTATGTGTTTAGTTTGTATAACGTTATGTTGGAGGTAGGGGGCAAGAGTTAACAGCAGTTCTCTACTTCTGCTAGTGAAAATTGTTGAATCAAGATATGAACTAAGATTAAAATAATTGTATTTGACCCCTTAGGTTTGGACATGCAAGAACCATTCTGTATCATGCAACTTAAATTATTACAGTCCATGCTGTTAGTCCTATTACATGGTGTATGTTTCAAATAATTGTTTAATAGTACTTTTTCTATCTTCCTTAATCAGTTGCTTTTTTCTGCTCAAGAGTTAAGCATTCATTAATTTTTATTGTCCTAGTGTGCCAAAGGCAGAAGAAAAAACCAAGCATGATCTACTTTTTAATCTAAGTATCACTCAGATTTATTATGCATGTTGAAATTATTTTCTAAATTATGATGTAACTTTTTTTCTCCTCAGGATTTGCAGATAGAACGTGAAAGAACTGTCTTCAATATATCCGGTGGTTGTACAGCTCTTGTGGTAGTGTATTTACTGGGGAAACTCTATGTGGCAAATGCAGGTGATAGCAGGTAAGCCAAATTTGTCTTTGGCTGGAAGGTTGTAAGTAACGTTTTTTTTATATTTACATTTGTGTGTGTTCAACTAAAACATAAGATGTATTTCTGTCCTCTTTCATGAATTCCAGTTTTCACAGAAATTAACTAGTTCTGAATGAGATGTCTCAGTTGTGTCCTTTGCCACTTTCTGATGCTAAATCTCTCAGTTCTGACATCTTGTTGGTTCCTTCTGCCAGTATCTTAGCTGACTTGAAGTTTCTGGGACAATCCAAAGCCTTCCCCTTTACACCACTCCAATATGTGGCTAAAGGAGTGGTATAAAGGGGAAGGCTTTGGATATATTAGTCACGATGTCTGTAGCTGGTCCAATGAAAAGATGTACAAAAGATATGGTTTGCATCCATCAAAGAAAGGGACTGAGTTACTCAGCGATAAATTTACAGATTTTCTGGAGGAAAATTTAAACTAAATAGCGGGGACAGTGAGTTAATTGATACAGAACAACCCTGTCCCCGGCAATCTAAAAATTATAGGGCTATCAGTGCATGTAACATAGAGGTGTGTGTGGACAAGAATACCAATCTTGCTGTCAAGCAAAAACAAGCCTCTAACAGCGAGTGCTACACAAAATGCACTAACCAAATAGGTGGTAAGGCAATAGGGGAACTCAGGCACCACACAGGTTATGTAGAAAGTAAACACAGGGCCAGTCATAAAGGACTCAAATGTCTATACACCAATGCACAGAGTATGAACAGCAAACAGGGTGAACTAGAAATTCAGGTTAATGAGGGCAGATATGATATTGTTGCCATTACGGAAACATGGTGGGATGAAACCCACAAATGGAACACACAGCTAGAGGGATTTAAATTATTTAAAAGAAACAGACCAAATAAAAGAGGA